TAACTCTCCCCCTGCGGAGGACCTAGGACAAATACTGACTGACAAGCCAGACACCTGCCCTGATTATCTAGGGGATGCCTCCAGGGCCCACACAGTGACGCATGCAACTAGGTGCCTTCACTCCTTACTCTGTACAAGACCTATATACGACCTCACTCAGAGGTCAACAAAACCATTACACCACCGTACTCAAGAAAAGACGTAAACCTCCCGGGGAAAATCCAAGAGTGGGCAACGAAAAGTGTTGAGAGAACAGAGCAAAACCGTATGAAAACAGGCAGAAGGGTCTAGAGCTTCGCCTCCTTAATTACTGTAACATGGTGGCTTGATGACGGATTGCACAATATCGAGTAATCCAAGTCATTCAAGGGACCGAACTTCACCAGACAACCACTGTGGCAATCGTCGTTATAACCCACATAGAATCGCCCACCAGAGGACCAGAACTAGCGTGCATTCACGCATTTTGTCTCTCCGAGCTTGCGGCCAGTAGAACGCATTATTCGCCAACATTGCTGCCACTCCTTCTTTCGAAAGCTGAACGAGGAGGTTGAACAGCTACACAGAGACGCATGGCCCTCACTCACATAGCTGGGATAAGGACCATGTCAATACAACTAAACACTTTTGATCGATTCAGGATGGTCAACACTGTCCCGAAACCTTTGTGCCGGCACTATCGTCTGGAGCTCGACTTAACCTGGTACTTCCTTGTTTCGCCCCTCCCTCAGTTACCGTACCCTCACTATTAGCACTTCTAGTTCTATCGGCATAATCCGTTCCGTAATCTTACCTGCCTCTCCCCTTCCCTGTGACCCTATGACATCACCCTATTTATTAGGACCCTCCTTATCACCGTTATCTCCCACGAATCTACCCGGGTTTCCCCTCTCCCTCCGTTCCCCTTCTTCTCACCTTTTTTCGTATTTCCTCTCTCCTGGTTTCGCTGGGCACCTACTCTTCCCTAATATTTTTATAAAACCGGTCCGGAGAGTGTCTGGCGGTGCGAAACTTAATGAACCCATCTGCACCACATTTGTTGGAAAAACTATACAATCCCAAAAAATTTGGCTAACGGGAGCAACAACAGGCAAGTGGATAGACCTAGTGCACTGGGATCCACCAGAGACCTGGAATCGTTTCTCAAGACGCAGAAGCGCGCAGGAAGAGTTCAACTGGCTTACACGAGCTCATATGAAGATGTTGAAATGAACCGATCAACTCCAGCCAAGCCCTAGGAGCTAGATGCGAGGGATCGAAAACTATCAGTTTTCCACGCTTGCACTATCAACATTCGACATTCTGTGACGACGTATTCAACGACCGGAATGTGTTTCTAAAACCTGTGGGAACTGATCTTAGGATGAACACTTTCAGGAAGAGATAGGACTATTACAGGCCACTCTGTCCACCATCCTTCAACTGGAAAACTGCCCAAATATAGGAACCAAATGAATTGAATGTCGAGAGGCCAGCGCGGTGACATTTCAACCTTCTACTCTGAAGGTGAGTACTGATGTGTAGGAAATTGACTAGTAGATTGCTTTCGTTGCAAATCCTACATGTAACTGTCAACGAACTACTCCTCACGTAGGCCAGTGAAATGACCTGAAAATCATAGAAGTCAAATGGTGATCACCCATGTCTTTAGGGCGAAATCTCGCGTTAGATGTGAGGCCTAAATCAAGAGAAGCCATACTCTGGAGCATTTATAAGTGCTGTGTTGCATGAATTCAACGCAGTAGTGTATTCTACCCTGATATTTACACCGAAAAGACTCAAACAGCGCAACCTGATGGGGTTTGAGGGCTGCAAGACTCCCTCAATTTTCATCCCTTGAACTCTGCGAAATCCCACGTACAGCAGGCTGAGTCTTGCCTAGAGTTCACAGTGCTATCCTTTCTTAACTGGCAGAAGTTGCTATGAAATTACCCTGCCGGATTATGGAAAACCTCTACACAACTGTGAAGTAAATTGGGTTGTCTTGGTTTTGAATGCATTGAGGTGCAGTCTTCCCGCACCCCGTGTGTTTGTAATACCTGTTCATCCTCTTTCAATTTTGACAAATTTTCTTGACTTCTGTGATAGCTCTTGACATTGGCAGTGCTCCTAGAGTAGTGACGTGTTTCGCTCGTCTCTCAGCTTTTGGATTTTTCCACAATGAAAAACTCCCACTTTCAATACTCAATCTAAAAACATAGAACGTTTGCAGCACTTCTGTCCGTCCACGCACCTCACCCCTGCGCATTCGTCAGCTCACTCCTCAACAGTTGAAAATTGGCATTATTATTCCTTTGAACCAACCGGTCTACCTCCTGTCAGTGGTTCTTGGGCGTTTCAGCTGCCAAACTGCCTTAGCTCTCGGTTCTCCTCGGAGGTCATTCCCCAGGAAATATCTTCCTGGTTATACATACGCATCTGGAGCTTACGGTTAAACTCGTTGGTCAAGAGCAGAGGATCAAGTGACAAGTGTCTGAAGGTGAGCCAACATAAATTATCTTCCCTTTTCTATTCTGTCCTTTTCCTGCATTCAGTCTTCAACCCTCTTATTGTTGTTAACTACTTGTTTTCCCAAGAAGTTTATATCATAGCGACATGTCTGCCCAAAACGCTAGGTCTGAAGCTTTGACACGGATAACGCGGTCGTGCACAACAACGGCCAGTAACACCCTAAACAACACACTAGTCTGTACTAGAAGACAAACAGAGGTAGGGCAGAACATCGAACTTCTGAAGAAGTGGCCAACCCATGTTTCTAGAATTCCAGTAGCCATCAGACAGGTGACACAGAGTAGCACTCACCCGTCACAAACTAGTCCTATCTTGAGCAAGGATCATACCATGCCTGAACATAGAAGACGACGTAAAAGGCTTCAGAACAAGGCAGCCACAAGCAGTTCGCCACAATCCGTAGCACCTTATTCATGGAAGGAAGGCTGTATTACGACACCCGATGGCTGCAGTGTTTGCACCAAAGTTGTTTCGGTAGTCGATGAGGCATTTGCATGCAACCTGTGTCAACGATGGGTGCATTGCCACTGCGATACCAAAGTCCCCCGACAATACTATAAGCTGATGAAGAGACAACCATGCAAGTGGTTCTGGTACATCTGTCCAGAGTGCAGGAAAATGCCCGCACTCCGCACAGAAAGCCTGAAGGAGATGCTCTCCGCCACGCAAAAGCTACCAGCATCCCCGAATAAGGTAGGGTTAACACCAAAGGATAACACAGAGAGACCTGGAAACAGACCTAGAGCTCCAGCTGTGGGCACGCCATCTCGCGTGGGGACCATATTAGGTCAAGTCTCCATACCCCCACCCGGCCCCAGGGGACGTCAAGCGCATGGCCAAAGACATCGACCGCCGAAGCCTCTACGAAACCCATTCCGAACACCCCACACACCGTGACTGAGAAACAACCAGTGGAATTACTCAAACCCATTGGTAAGTCGGGCGTGCCACCCACAACGAACCCAGGTCACAGGAGGACCAACTCGATCATTTTGTTCAACGTCGATGTATCGACAGACTCATTGTTGGTCGAGAGGGAACAATTTGACAGCCGAATGTGGACCGACTACTGTCAGATGCTGGGACTCCCTCCCCTCCCTGCAACTTTGTGTCGCCTTTCTCGAGGAAGCCATGCACCCCGAGATAAGCCCCCCCTTTACGTGTGTCCCTAAATACCGCCAAAGAGGCTGAAGACACACTCCTCCTCTCACGACAACCGGACGTTGTTAATGCCTGTAAAATTCGGGCCAGGCCTGACAAGCCATGGTCAGTAAGAGAGGAGGAGAGAAAGTCAGCGGTTGGAAATCCCAACAGAAACAACACTATAGTTGTACATGGGATTCCAGAATTGCCAAGTGACAGCTCGGTCAAAGATCGGTACTTTCACGACGTCCAACAATGGCAATGGCTCTCAACCAAAGTTGGTCTCAACAGTATACCGGCCAACAGCGTCAGTAGACTGCCAAGGCCAGCGCACCTGAAGACCATACCCAATCCCAGACTACTTGCCGTCCAGTTCGACTCATATGCCTCCCTCACAGACGTTCTGCACGCATGGTATAATGCGAAAGATCGCATGGGTGGCTCAATACGTATATGTGAAAGTAAGCCTAGACCCACAAGGCAAGAGGAGAGACGGCAACCACCAAGACCTCTGGAGTCAGTGGTCGTCACACAGGCGCTGACCAGTGAGTTAGATACATCAAGTAAAGAAGCCACCACTGCTACAGCCCCCACCCAAGTTAAGAACAAAACACAAAAAAACGGAACAATGCCAGTCCTATGAGGACTGGCGAGGCTAAAATCAACCACGTAAGCGCTCATCCTGCGAAAATACACATCCAGACCTCCCCCTCATCAGGTACACTCTAATATGTATGTACAGCAACGTTAGGGGGCTAATAGGGAAGGTAGCAAAAATGAGGACGCTGCGTGAACATCAGCACTCCGACATCATATTCATCACCGAATCCTGGCTCTCATCGGACATCTCCGACGAAGAGATGCGTGTTGCTGGCATGGAACTCTTCCGCAGGGACAGGGAACATAGAGCAGGAGGGGGAGTGGCTATCTACGCAAACTCCTGTTTAAAGGCAAGGATGGTTAGCGATACGGCCTTAACCCAGCTCCCAGAGTCTCTATGGTGCTACTTCACTCTCTTCTTTATTCTCTCTTCATTCCTTTACCACTACCTTACTATTCTCTTCCAGGTACCTACACAGACAGGAGTCATGGCAGTTCTCTAAACTTCCCAGCAACCCGTAGCTCCCTAATCACTCTACAAATTACAACCTACTAACCCACAAAACATCCACCTCACCGAAGCTAAAAGCAAGAAAGCAGAGGGGATTTCCTCGTCCACTGCAGGAGTAAACCGAACAACTGGAACCAAGCCCTAAGAACTAGACGCGAGAGATCAAAAACTACTAGTTTTCTACGCTCGCACTATCAATATTGGATATTGGATATTGGATGGTAGACGGTTTTCCGAGTCTCTGCGGACTGTTTAACGTTGAACGGTGTAAGTAGTGAAATGTCAACCCAGCATTGTATTGTTGTCAATATTTTGAGGTGTTTCCGTTCTCTTAGGTTATTTTGTCAGTTTGATTAGAAATTTGGCGCATCTAAATACTTCACGCATCCTAATCTTTGAAAAGTTGAGGGCGAAATTGATATTTGCTCACTGACATCTTGAAGTAAATAGGAAGAAAAAAATACCTACAAATAAAGTCATCTGTTGCAACCAGATGATTTAAATATGCGAACGCCTACCTTCATAAAACCATAAAACCTCGTGCAAACGTGCGGTAACTCTAGTTGCTATGTCCTACAGAAACTCAGTAGAAATATCAATATAGACAAGTCCTGAGTAAGTACAGTCCCCTAAAGGGCTTTATCACCCTAGTTAGAATTTTCCGTATGCCACAGAAGTACGTCGCTCTGCCAAATAGCGTTAATAAGTAGTTGCGTTCACTCTGTTTACAGCAGCTGAAAAATTTACGGTAATGAATCCATGGAAAACTGTGCTAACTTTGTGAACCAAGAGTATGGAACCTGTCAGTTGAAATAACAGCAAAAAGCTGGCTGACCGCATCATCCTTGAGTCATCGTTAGTAGCCTCCTCTTTGGTCATACGCACCGGGGATTATTTATACTTGTTATCGTGTAGTAAGCCGTACCAGATAACTGAACATCACCTATTTGAATACTTTCAGATCGCTGACCTCTTTGATTTATGAAGCTATGGTTCCCCAACCTTCAGTATCGGTAGGAAAACCAGCACACTAACACAATTTCATTTATCTGATGAGTTGTCAATGAAATAAAAAGTGCATCCAACGTTCCATTTCCACTCATCATAATGCATGTATTATTTAAACGATATAAAACCCACCTAAGAATCCGAAATCATTCTGATTTATTGAGAGCATCACAATCAAAGCCGGAAAAAATAGGCCTCGCATCATGGTCATCGCTATTTAGAAAACTGGACATCAACGACTCATTAAATGCAGAGTACTGTTTGTTCAGAACTCCGACTAACTATAAAAAAGACGTCAACCGCTCGCCACCATTTGTTCAGGAACTGTTGCACCTTTCCTCGGGGCTTCCAGCCTCAACGTATTGGTTACTGTCTGGATTTAGGCCTAGGTTTTTGTTTGGTCAGTGTTAGTTTCGGGAATACAGAACTGTCCTGATTTCAGAGACTTAGAACCTAAGTTTGGTTTGGGTTTTGACTACTGTATGTTCTCGTGTCGTTCCCTATGGGATGAAAAAGCTATCTCCTCGACTGAACAATTTGTAGTCAACTAACTCACTTCACTGATTTAGCTTGTTCGAGCAGTTGTTGAATTTTCCTAATTCGTCACCTGAAAATAGCTTGTTATTTCGAGTTGGATATGCATATTTTTATGGTCACTGCATCCGGGTTTTCCATAGTGACTCGATATTTGAGATTCCGGGAACAAATCATTCGAAAACCTGATGGATTCGGGCAAATGATTTTTTTAAATATTGCGTGATTGTTGGAGAGTATAGCAGCAAGTCCATGAAATCCAGTCTAGATAAAACGCTCAGTCCTTTTAGGTGGAGTTATCACGTGAATTATGCACCACAACCTTTGTGTCTTAGTTTCGCTGTAAGGCAATTTGCATATGGTCGCTAGTTTCCTTATTGGCTCTATAGGTTTATATCCTGTCTTCAGCTTAATTGTGATGCCCCATGTCTGTTTTCTTCACTAACTCTTCATCCGTTTTCAATGATGACGTTTTGCCAGTTCTGACAGTGTAATATTAACTTTGTTGCTTACCCTCTTCTTGACTCCTATCTACATAAAATGGTGTAACTCGTGGTAACCTTATAGCACTATACGATAATACCAGATTCTATTTTTTGTCGGTTACTTTGGCGTCTAATGCAGAGGTGTGGTTTATCGGTTTACGTATTCTACTCTGCTTCCACTCAGTGGGTTTGAACACTCCTCCACTCACTTAGGTCTAGACAGCTAGGTAGTACGGTGGCCCTCACTCGTAATACATTTAGTTCATTGACTCCGATGGAAACGTGCGTATGGCCGCAGAGTTGTAGTTTTACGTCTACATGTTGAAAATAAAAGTTATTTCTTAATTTTGCGGTCATATTGTCAACTGCCTATTTTAGCGAAACGTTCTTTGTATAGGAGCGTTGATGATAAGCTTTTAGAATTTAGTGCATGCTGTTGGGCGTCATGGCGTCTACTTTGCACAGGTTCATGTGCTAGACAGTCACCTCACGACACTATGCAGCCAGCCAGACAGTGGTAGAGTGAAGTTGGTAATGGGGATCCATCGTTTAAAAGTCGAGTTCTCCGGCGAATGAGCCACATTTGTATTACGTGGCTTCGTTATCCTTAACCTACCATTCACCCAAACGAGCGGGATCTGTTGTACGAAAATCTCTTCGCGTCAATCTTCATACGTCCTAATCTGGCAGTTAATAATTTTGTGAGTTGCCACCCTGTCTTAAACAGAGTGTATTTCTTCTAACCAATTTTATTCTTGTCACTTATTTGCTCTTCACCACACTAATACAATACGATCCAGTTGTCGTCTTACTTATCTACTTGGCTGTTTTGTGAGTTGTTGAAAATGTAGTTTAGTCGATAAGTGAAGTTCTGGCTAGGTAATTTGCATGGTGAAACTGTCATGTGTCATTGAACATATACCCTTCATTATGTAAAACAACTGAATCCTGGAAAAAAAAACTACTTAACTGCATTTCTCTAGTGGTTTCTAGTTAAAAAACTACCTTGATTAACAGGGTTTTTTCAGGTAACCAGGTCACTTTTGTCTAGAGTTCTAGTTCTGAATTCGTTGCTATTTATATAGTAACTTCATCAAATAGAGCATTGTAAAGATATCGATGATTATATGCTGAATAAACATTTGATATATGTGTTTCAATCACACTTTACACGGAGAACATAAAAGGACATAACGAGTAATACAGGCTAACAGACATTGTTTTGGCTGTGTTTTGTTAGCTAACCACTTATGGATAGTAGAGGAACAGTAGGGACAATTCAGTGCCATACTTCGCTACTAATTTCTTATAGAATGCTGATGCCTACACAAATATTCCTTATTTTTAGCTAATGGTTGAGGAATATCCAATAAAGGTCTGCATTACCTCTTGCACATTTGCTACGGAATATTTCTGTTTCACCAAAAAATTTATTAGCTCAGACTAGTAATATATCTTTTAAGCATCATTGACCATTCCTTATGAATGAATTGTAATGGATGAACGTGATCTGGGTAATCACATTCTCTGGCAGCCAATTTACCTCTTGATTATAACTTGTTCGAAATAAATTAAAATCATTATGTAGAGGTGTGCTCACGATGTGTTGGTCTTTCTGGTGATACTTGGCGTTGCTCTGAAAATGCATGAGAGGTAGAAAGTTGTTTGTTGATATCTTTTTATGCCAATTGAAAGTGCGACACTTATTATCCTCAAATTTGTCGCAGAGATTGCAAAATGAAAAAAATTGTTGCATATAGTAAAGTCTTTTTCGTTATTGATATTTTAGACATCTCTTGCTACAAAATCCTTCATCTCGATACTTCGCCTATGAAGTACTGATTTTGTACTTCGTTCAATCTGTTCTTCACCAGGAGACTGTGAATTTACGACCATGATTTCCGATGTCTCTAAGATTACTGGTTCACTGGTAGGTTGGAACACGTGGAAGTCTTATTTTAGTGTTTTTATTTCACTTGTTCTTTATAAGTTGAATATCTTCTTTACACAGTGATGAACATTTGGATCGTACTCTGAATCTTCACCATAAACAATGTTTTTTAACATGCAAACTTTAATTACTGATGTGTCAGCACACTACAGGGCAGCTTAGTTCGTCAATGTATAAAGCGCGTATTGACGAAAACTCACTTATATTTGTTTTTCATTCTTTCCCTTGACACTCGTCTTACTTATTTTGATATCATTAATTCAGTGGATATTTTCTAACTGTTCTTCGTGGATGTGCGGAAACTAACCATATCTTTTGATAGAATCTACCTTTACAGGTGGCGTGGAGTATTACAGCCTAAACATTTATGTTAACACTCAAAAGTATCTTGGTAGCATCTCAATGTTGCCACTACACCATCGCATTTCATAGGAGTCTACATTATTCTGTCAGAATTCCTGTTACATGAACTAGGCATGCAGCTGTTATCTTCGCTGTCATTTAACAAGCGTAGCTAGTTGTTACAGAAGCCAGAACATTGTAGAAAGTTTCTTTTCACTCATGGTTTGTTTCAAAACCACTCCTTTTAAGACATTCCGTTCTCTAGGCTTGTATGTAAGTCTCTATATAAATGTGACAATTTTTCATAGACTATACTGTAACTGATTTTTTTCACTTGAGTAACATCTATGTCCATAAAGTAGTTAATTATTGCGATTATGTATTAAGCCGAATAAGGCGTATGATATACTGAAGCTACTGTTACTAATACATCATTTCAAAATGCTGGTAAATGACTGCCAAGGTCACTGGTGGCTATCAAGAATTGCTCCACTATTATTTCTGTGTTTTCATCTTTCTTTTTTCAGTTTGTTGTAAGAACATAAAGTTTCTTGCCACTGTTATTGATAATTTTAGAAATCTTACTGTTTTGTTTTTTTGAGCTAGCATCGTCTGTAATCAGCACAGAATTGGTATGATGTGTGACACCTCTTGAATTTTTTTGCTGAAGTATACATAAAATGAAATGTTTTGAATGCTGTGTAAACTTTCACTGAAACTCATTTATTTCAAGCCTGATGTTGATGATGCGTATTTGTTTGCATAGTACATGAGAAATTCTGTGATAGTTCACTCATGAAGCGGTTAACTACAGAGCATAGACTTTAGTTCTGAAATGTTTTCTGGCGTTGAAATAGTTTTTGTCGTTAGAGGATATGATTATTCCTCAGAAAACTTGCTGCATTACATGTATTGTCCTATATTATTACACTTTATTATTTTGTCTATCATCAGCTTAATTTTACTGTATTATGATCACTAATGATCGATTTACTTGTAATCAAGACACTGTAAAATATCTGAGATGCAACGCCGTTATTATTACTATTTGTAATTGTAACGATTGACCTTTGTCTCATTGACATCTATCAACTACGACTCATGCTAGGAATAAATTGATAATATCATTTCATATTTTTGTGCTTGATGAATTGCGATCAAATCTGTGATGGGAAATCAAGTCTTACCTGACAGTTACACCTTGCTGAGTATTGCGAACAAGTACGAAACCGATATCAAATTTTTTTTGTTTATTATCTGCCACCATCCAAAATAAGGAGCAGTTTTTTCTGCGTATGTACACATGGTAGTACCATGTTTCTTGGCATTTGAATTAATTTTTCAAAACACAAGGTTAGTGCTTTTTGTATTACTATCTAATCGGTTAATTCCATATTCTTTAACTTCAGCCTTAATTATAATATACTGACAGGATTTCACAGAAACTAGTTTGTTTTTTATAATGTTTAATCCATGGTGATGAATATTCTCTCTTTTGTTTTTTATTGTAAACAAACAGATATCACTTTGTCTCCCCTAAAAAAATAGTTGTTTTCATGGCTTTCTTAATAAAGATAACCTGGGCTTATCTGTCAGAACAATATAGAACCTAGGTGAACCTTGAAGGCCTCAGATTCTAAATATCTGCTGTATTGCTTCATAGCTTAGAAATGAACTCCTCCATCTTCAGTCTGAAAAATTGGGAAGTATTGAGCACCCTCATGAATTAGATGTGCCTCAATCTGGCATAGAAAATGTAATACGTCACTGAGCTGTATTGCTAACTTTGCATGTATTACCTATCGAAAGTGTTTGAGTATAAATGGAAGTAAGTATGCTTAACAGGCTTAACATGGAGTACAGTAATATCAAGAACAAATATTTGTTGTTTCAACGAGTATTTTCATGGCTTGAAGAAAGATAAAGGCAATAAATACTTAATATCGGTTCTGATTTTGAACATCAACACACTCATTTATACTGTCTTGCAAACTGCAGCTAAAAAGAGCCCGAAAAATTCTCAACTTTGGTTGAACTAGTCGTCATTTCGCTTCTGGGCTGGCTGAACTTTTTGATTTTAGCGTGATTACCACTCGACCATACCTTTTGCTTCACATGTCATCACAATAAAGTGTGACAAATTAAACCGATGCACTTGTGTGTGAGGCTCAACTTTGGTTTCTCTTGTTGGTTTGTCTGACATACCATCACAAAAAGTAGAAGTCAGTGCATATGGATATGTCGCACATATACCAATGGTCTTTATGGATACAAGTCTAAACTCACCAAAATATTTGCTTTCCTTACTTAAGACTTATTGTTTAATACCGACACTGTCCATTCAGTTTTCCAACTCCGAGTATATTTCATAGGTTCTGGAAATCATTTTTTCTACCCTCTTGTTCGTTTTTCACGGTGATGTAGTAGGAAAGAATGCAGTGTTGCCCTACACGCTCGACCTTTAGTAGATGTTTGAATTACCAACATAGGACTAGGCATTACTTACTGCATAGCGGTCTAATTCGCCACACTTCATATGAGCACATCAAACAGGAAAGCATTAAGATGAAAGAATTAAAGAAGAATCGGTCAGAAGTAGTAGAAAGTAGTAAAATAGAGAAAGGAGGAACAAGAAGATACTGAATTGAGTGTGAAGGTTAAGATGTATGGATGTACATGCGCCACTGAACCATGTCAGCTAGGGTCTACATATATGAGTCATTTACGTGTTAAACAGAATTTAGTAGAAGCACATGTTCAAATTTTTGTTAATCCACAATGGCAATAAAATTTTCGAAGGATGAAAAAAACTAAACTTTCAGACGGTTCTCATTCGCTTGTGAAATTATACGGAAATATAGATTTTCTAAGACCTTAAGGGATATGAACAGTGATTTGGGTATTCTTCTGTGGACTATCTTTGTTATGGATAGTTAACATACGTTACAGGAATGTATTACATATAAGGTTTCTACTGGATATTTTCTTCTGTAGAGACTGTAGATAATTATAACCAGGTTTATACCCCGACCGATAGCTGCTACCTTGACTTGGTGGTTAGGCTTCCATATCACAATGACCCAAGGAGCTATGCTGGTGGAACACTAGTTCCCTCGAGGTCCTGCCATATCAGAAAGGTTTGTTGGATAGTGATTAGACGAAAAACAGTTACCGTTCTGGTGTAAATTACTTCAATATGATGGGGGTCTAAGGGCGAAGTCGTACTGCTGCTAGCTGGGTGGGGTGTGACAGCAGTAAGGTGTTTCCCTTGGATGACCAGCAGTGCCATGTTGATGTTGCATTCTCAGTGGAATGGGGGGTTAGAAAAGGTCGGCCCCAAAACAACACAGTCCACCATACCCCACAGTCTGCCGGGCTGGAGGCGTTGGTTCATTTGTCGTTCCCTTTCGACCATCCGGCCCCAAAAATACAAAAGTTCTAAATAATCATACACAAAAGGCTTCGTGTGACAGGTCTCAAGTAGATGTCCGATGAGCTCTGTGGTCACAAATCTCTTTCAGTTACCTTAAGAAGAAATAGCCTCCCATGGTGTGGGCAGCTGGGAAGTGTCAACTGCCCTCACAACTCTGTCAGTACTCAAGTTTCTTCAGACCAATATCCACCTCCCTCATCATTACCTTCTAATCTTCATTCACCTCTCTGAATTAACGGTACTACATCATCTTCAATTTCTCCTATCTCTGCAGCCTTCGACAACGATCTGAATCCACAGAACAGCATCACTGGTCTCCTTAAACCAGGCTCCAAATTACACATCGGGACCTTCAATATCCGCACTCTCCGTCGAATTGGTCAACAGGCTCCATTGGCCAAGAGTCTAGCAACTCAGGCCATGGGTGTGCGCTGTGTTTGTGAGACATGCATACAGGACTCAAGTGTGGTTATTCACCTAACCTCTCCCGGCCAATCTGATGAGTCCGCGAAATCCACCCTTCGAGTTTTTGGAGATTCGGTAGCTAGCTCTTGCGACCTTGCAGGTGTAGACATAGTATTAGCACAAGGGGGGGGGGAACTCACTACTAGACTGGATCCCAGTAGATAGTCGCTTCTGTGCTCTCCGACTGAACGGCACAGTGAGAACTAAAAGGAATAGTGAGACTCGCTGTTGTCTCTTTGTAATCTCTGCTTACGCACCCACTGAATGCAGTTCGGATGCAGTGAAGTACGAGTTCTACCGTAAACCGTCTAGCCTCCTCACGAAAGCCAATCGCTGAGATGTGGTGGTTGTTGCAAGTGACTTCAATGCACAGGTGGTTAGACTGAGTGAGGCAGACAGGCACTTAGGTGGCAATTTTGGAATTCCGGCTGAACGAACAGATAATGGTGATCGCCTACTTTAACTGTGCTCAGATAACTGCTAGTTTTTAGTTAGCACGAATTTCAGACACAAAGAAAGATACTGTGTGACGTGGTGTCCACCGAGCTCAACTCAACGATGAACACAGATAGACCACATTGCTATCAGTTATTGCTGGAGAGGATCGGTGGAAGACTGCTACTCCTTCTGGAGTACATGTTTGGATAGAGACCGCGCGTTGGCCCGAGTGCGTATATGCCTGCGTCTGAATGGATGTAGAGAATATTTGGTAACAAAACTACTATGAGTGCTGGTGGACAAGGAAAACACCAAAGCCGTGTTCAGTGAGAAGTTGGCTAGGCAGTTATCGGAACGGAAGACTATCACTCATCGAAAAGAAGGTTGGTGCCATCTCCAGTCTGGTGTAAAGTCAGCGCTGAAGACCGTAGCTGACCTCGAAATGGAGGCTAAAATGAGCCAGTGGATATCATCGGCTTCTTCCGAACTAATGGATGCACGTGAACGCATCCCTACAGGCTCTGAGTACAATGAAGAGAGAGCACGACTTTAAAGTAGGTTGAGAAAAAGTCTACGCAACGACCGCGAACAGTGGTGGGCAACGAAGACTAAAGAGATGGAAAAGACGGCGGCGATTGGTAACGGTAGACAGTTATTCAGATGTATTAAGGAGACTGTAGGGGGCGGAAGGTCAACAACGGTTAGTGAGACCATAGCGGAGAAGGACGGATCTGCGATTCACTGGCAGAGGAGACGACTAGAACGATGGACAGAACACTTCGAGGAACAGTTTAACTAGCCTCCAGCCACCATTGCGTTGCCTGATATCCTGTCGGATCCGGAATGGAACATTGAGATAGGTCCCCCAACACTTGCAGAAAAAAGCATTAGGTAACTTGAAACGAGGAAGGGCAGCAGGACCAGACGGACTAACTCCTGAGGTATACAAGGATGGTGGTAGAGTGCTCTTAGTTAGGTTAACGGAAGTGTTAACCAGTATATAGGAATCAAATATGATTCCCTCTGACTGGTCTAAATCACTGATTTTCTCAGTCTTCAAGCAAGGCGAGAAGTCCTCTTGTTATAAACACAGAGGAATCAGTCTGACGAACATAATGTTTAAGATTCTAGGTTCCATAATTATTTGACGCCTGAGTGTAGCTCGGAAACGGCAAGCTCGAGGAAAACACGCAGGCTGCAGACCCGACCCCAGGGGGGACTGACCGAATATTCCTACTGCGCCAGGCTCTGGCACACAGTCACGCTTAAGGAAGCCCGACAGTAGCTATATTTCTCGACCTGAAGATGGCATTTGGCTCCGTTGAAATAAAAGTCTTATAGTAATGTTTTTCACTGAAAGGCGTGCTGAGCAAGTACATCACCTTTTTGGAGGCTCTCTACTCGAACACTTGTGGGGGTGTTAGAGCCTATGGTGAGATGTCCAGGGAGCTATGCTCAGCGAGTGGTGGCCATCAAGGGTGCCCACTGTCTCCATTCTCATTCAGTTTTATCGTAGATATTCTTATGGAGGTCTCCATCTCGTCACCTGATTACACAGATGTTGACCAAAACGCGAGAGAATTTTCGTTAGATTAAGAATACCCAAATGACACAGTCCTGTTAGGTGAAGACGCTGACAAGAAGCAGAGTCTTCTGAACACTTTGAGTGGCAGTTTGAGAATGTTTGGGGTGCGTTTTTGACCACCCAAATGCAAATTGTTGCTCTAGAGTTGGTCTCCAACAGTGCCTCGGCTAACAATAGAGAGTGTAGTGATTGAGTGTGCCGACCACTTCACTTACCTGGGAAGTAAGATCAGTCCTGGTGGCTCAGTGGCCGATGAAATTTCTGCACGGATACAAAGAGCTTGGCTGGCTCTTGCCAACTGACGCCACTTTGGCGCCGCCATGATATCCGATTGTCTATTAAGGGTCGCATGTACTGCACAGCAGTCCGGTCCGTCCTACTGTATGGCTGTGAAACATGGACATTGAAGGTGGAATACATGAGAAGGCTTCAGGTGTTTGACCATCGTTGCCTTCGTAGTGTAGACCGTATTCCATGGAGTCACCATGTGAGTAATGCAGAAGTTAGGTGTAAAGTTTTAGGGAGAAGACGTAACTCAGTTGACACGGTTGCAAACCTTCATCAACTAAGATGGTTAGGACACATGTTACGTATGCCTATTCACCGTCTGCCTTGTCACAATGTTAGCCGAAGTAGATTCAGACTGGAAAAAGCCCCTAGGTGACTAGACTAAAACATGGCATCAATGTATGAAGTGTCTGACTGTTGGTTTGAGTTATGTGGAGCGATGTAGACTAGTCGGTAGGGGTCCATGGGACAAGGGGAACCAGTGGTTGGAGACTCTATGTGATGGGACTCAGAATTGAAGCCAATGGCGTAGATGTATACACACATTATCCTCATCCTAACGACGCTATACCGAATCTCACTATTTTCTCATTCTTCCTTTCTCGCTTTTAGTACTTTATATTTTCATCGAGTTTTCTTTCCTTCATCTTCCAGTTCACTACCTTTTTACTTGATGTACTGTACCGAGCTGTGGCAACTCGGAGGGTAATGCCTGGTCCTGTGTTGATGATAATGAGCAGGTTTATATCAAAAGTCCTCATCAAGATGTCTTAGGAAAAGCAAGAGGTTCAGCAACGTGACTCTTCTCGGTAATTTCAGTCTTCAAGCTACGTTTACTATTTCACCTGCTTCTGCTGAGCTAAGGATACTTGTCATTTGATGAGAGTTCTGTCTAAAATTACTAGAAACATCATGGTGTATGGTTGTGTCAATAGATTTATTTTGTCAACACTGACAAGGCACTCTCGGCAGTTTCATCGTACAAGTTAACGACTTGCTGCAAATTAACTTGTTAAAGGTGGTACATGTTTGCCTCGTGTATCTTTTATACAGTCTTAGTTGTTCACATAAAGATTATGGAAGTTTTTTCATGCAAAAAAGACTTTCACAGCCTCTTCTCTTTTCCCAAACTCATTCTTTAACTTTTAAATTATCACACCTTTTGCTTTTTCCTTTCTGTTATCTTATGTAATATGAAATCTTGGTCGTTCATATTCTTTTGATAACTATTCATTATTTAGTCATGTCATGCAACATTTCGCTTGGACGTGTTCATCTTTATTTAGTTTCTTTGAGACCTTGATTACTGTTCATTAATATTAGCAATTTTTAGTATTTTTTGGTTTACTATTATATTCCAATTATTATTATTTCTAAAAAATCCTTTGATTGATTTGTTTTTTATTTATTATTATTATCAAATCCTTTACACAAGCCGTCATTGTGAATGTCTAACACGTTGAACGGTTTTACAAAAGAAAGTTGTAAGTAATTGGTATCGTACAGCTTAAAATGACTTGCTTTTTCTCATGATCGATTGGTTAAAAATCCATATGGCGATACAGTATCTGAGCATAATTTATATGAATCTTGGTCAAGATTTGACCATCAGCATAAATTACCCCAAATTCAAATTTTTTCGATCAGAACAAACACAATTTTCCTGTTTCTGTAATCGTCGCACATTTTAGATTATTACTGCAGGTACTGTATGCTTGGTGGCAGATGGCACGATATTCTGACCCTGGGTTTTACAATTGTTGATACTCATCAGGCGGATTTGTTTGCAACCTTAACTAAAATCCTTATGCTTTAGAGATTTAAATGGATTCCATCTAACTGTATAGTCAGAAGCTCTGACATCGAACTACCGGGATCGTTCCATATCCTTTACTAACATTCAGATCAAAAACAGTACGTAGTGTATCATAAGTATTACGCATACAACTTGCGTGTGAAATTTCACCAGCCACATATAGGTGGGTATACTTCTGATTTTGGCGATTTACAGTCCTAGAAAGTAAATGCATTTCTTTGAGTCTGCATGTGTGTCTTTTTGATGAGTGCCAGCCAGCAGAAAGCTCAGGGTTTTCTGCCAGTGGCCAAGTACTTATACAAAGCTGAATGTTACTTTGTAATCCGACTGATATAACGCGATCAGGGTTGAGAACTAAGGAGTATAACATCGGTTTCTTTTTCTATGTTTTATCAATCTTGTGCACCTACATTTCTGTAACTTATGACCTGAGAATATGACGTCCTTGCGTGAATTTTCGTAGGTTTCGTAGCTGGTAGATAGCTCCCATTTTTGCTTCATGTGCTCGTATTTGTGAAAGCAAACGTTTTACTAATCTTTACACACAAAATATGGTTAATTACCCGCCATACGCATGTGTACATCGTCGCCAAATTTTTATCGAAGTGAAAGAGGCACTTACATTTGTCTAATAGTATTCTCACACTGGAACTATTATTTTTGTTTTTCAGACTATGTATGGACGCAATTTTTTCTGTATAAATTCTATAACGAGATATGCTTCATCTCGTTCATTTGAAGTACCAAGGACAAATGTCAAACGTGATAATATCCAATCAAAACCTATTGAAAAACCAGTTATGACATCGAGAAAACTTGAACCACCTGTGTATTGTTCTGTTGCTCGTAGTCCTCGATTAACTTGGTTGGAGACACTTAAGCCATTCAGCCTCTCAGAGTCTTCACCTTCTGAGGGTCTTATTGGTATGATCGATTTACATCCAGACATTTTCGCTGTTTTCCCTCGTATTCATTTGATACATAAAAATTTATACTGGCAAGCTCATTATCGTTTAGTAGTAAGTTAAAAAAAAACAGAGTTTTCGCTTTATTTTATTGAAGTATCTGCAAAATTGGTCAAAATCACTCAACGTTTTGGTTTATTTGAATTATAAGTTATTCTGGCATGTGAATGTGTTTATGCAGTAGTGCAGTATAGAGTGGGGATACTTCTGTGATTGTATACACTATTTTGCTGGCGAAAGATACGTGTTCAAGTCTGGTTAAGTGAGCATTCTACTGAACTAGAGAAACAGAAAAATGCTCAAGATTCTGAACTAATTGACTCAGTACATTATAATGCTGTTATTCACCAAACTCAGAATGTATAGAAATCAGAACACGGAATTACTAGCCAAAATAACCTATGGTCATTAAAGAAGAATGTAAAAGTCATTGGGCAACCAATGAGTTCTTTCCAATGTTTGTAAAGCTGACATGTATATAGTTGTCAGTTTCCCATGAAATCTCTCAGTGGGAGGAAATAAAAAATCCATCTTGTTCTACTCTGTCAGTCGCCCATGCTTTAATAAAATTTGTCAAGGTAAGAAATCGTGAGAAATAAAAGCTAATATTGTTTTGTGACTGAAAGTTAAAAGTGGCTGTATGTTTTTACTTCCTTTCTCTCTCTTCGGGTTTTGTATCCACAATGAAAAAGGTGTCAGAACATTTTAATGAGTATATATCTTATGTGAATATTAAGGTCTTAGTAGGTGCTGCGTCTTTGAAATTTCTTTCATATCATGTGTACATCAATAGGGTGGAACGGAACTACATAGTAATGGATGCCTAACACGTTAACAATATCTCATAATTTCAGATAATCCACTTACATCACTGCTTTCTTCTTAGACAAAGTTCAAGCATGGTTAAGTGAAGACTTGTTATTTTAGGAAAGGCAGAAATTGCCAACGCGAATTAACCTGTTTGTATACAGACGAGACAATATTCTTTAAACATGTCATGTGTTTCTTAAGCGCATGTTTGTTGGTTATACTAACTTTCGTAGACTGAGAATACTGCATTAAAAAATTTCAACTATTGGTGTGACCACAGACAGTAATGTTTCTCAAGATATTTCCAAAATTGACTAGTTTATGATAGCATGTGAACATTCATTGCATACTTATTTATAGTAACCTGATTCATCCACAATGCACAAACTCTTCATTTATGTTATGCTAAAGCAGTTGGAAATGATAGACAACCTTCAGAAAATCCCATCTCCAGTGATTGACTTGTATTTCAACAGACCGCATGCTTTTTTTAAATCATAACTCTTTCCATTCCTTTTGTTACTACTTGTTATTGATTTGTATCGTATTTTTATGCTGCTCTTATGTCATAAGGTGATCATTAAAGTTAAGCACAAATCTGCACCATCACTTAATTTGAGCTAGCCATTACATAAAGAGCAATTAAGTGATTTCATCAACAACTATGCTGTTTTTGTGTTATTCATTTCTTGACGTCCAGTATATCCTCATGATTGATATTGTTATGTTTTGTTAATGTATATGTATGTGTATGTATCATGATGCCTGTGGTAAAAGCAAGTAGAATTATCATCCATTCGGTAGATGTTCTAAAGGAAGGAAGGAAGGAGAATATACGAAAAAAATACAGAAGGCAAGTGATGAAGCAACATAGTTTGGAGATCAATTCATCTCGAATGTACAATGCAGAGAATATTTATGAGCTGTGTTTGCTACAAGGTTTTTATATTTCAGCGACTTGGTGTATTTTCCAAATCAACAATTTCAGCAATCCTCACTGTTTTCTTTCTACGGTATACCTGACGGAATTCGGTAAAGTTATTGGCTCCATGAATAAATATTAGAGGAGGCGGTGAACAATCCACAACTGTCAGTCATCTAGATAGACAAGTTTCAAATCACTGTGGTACCTTGAACCTACCTTGAGCCATAAGTCAATATCAACGTAAGATCAGGCCTTACTGTGTAACGCTCTAAGCTGCCACACCTCATACCAGCACAATTCACAAAGCAACAAGATGAAAGATGAAGAAAGAAAAGTCGTTGAAAAGCATTAGAAAACAGTAAAAGAAAGGAAGTAGTAATGAAAAATTCTTAATTCAGTATGGTGATTACGATGAAGATAAAGTGTGGATACATCTGTTCCGTTGACATTAATTTTGGGCCATATCACCTAGACTCTCCAACCACTGGTTTTTGTTGTCACGTGGACCCCAACCAGTTCCTCTACATCTCCCCACATGGCTCAAACCAACAGCCAAGCATTTCATGCATTGATGCCATGTTTAACTTTGACCATCCCGAGCCTTTGTCTAACCTGAACATACTTCAGCCAACATTGCACAACGAGGCAGATGGTGACTAGGTATACGCAGCACTTTTCCCAGCCATCCTAGTCGATGAGGGTACATGATCTTATCAACTGACTTTCAAACCACCTCCTACTTTAATGATGGATAGTGGCTAGCTGTGAAATCTAGGGCACGCGTTTAGTCCGGTTTGGGATTCATCAGCTGCACGTACCTGCCTCCCAGTGAGTGACGTTGTTCCCACCTCCTACTTTATCCTAAGACTTTTGTCAAATTTCTTTACTTGCTTTGTCTCCTCTTCCTCACACTATTTTCTATGAATTTCGACTTTATTATTTATATTTCTGTCTTCGTTTTGTTGATTGAAAATAAGGCCAACTGGACTATGATCTAGTAGTACGAGATCCTCTGTTGATACTGACTAGCCGAGACAACTCCCAAGCACCGTCAGCATAAACAGCCTAACACACCAAGGGCAAAGCCTTGATTTGAAACGTGTTACTTCAAATCAAATGCAATACCTTATATATATATATATATATATATATATATATATATATATATATATATATATATATATATATATATATATATATAATGAATCCCTACATTCCCCTTCATTATAGAAAGAAGGAATGAGCAAGATATCAGTATCTGCAAAAAATAAATTTAAATGGTTTTAATTAATAAGATAAAGGTGACACAGTTCATAAGTGATGAATAGGGTTCATGAATTAAACAAACTATTTCGTTAGTTAAATGAAATTGGAAATTGAACTGAACTTTCAGCATGATTAAAACCTTTAAACACTTTCATAATCGAGGTATCCTGTCAACTTAAATTGTCCTAGGAATATACAGTTTAATTTTGGTTTCCAAAGTGAAGACTTGTAATATTTAAGATAAGAGAGATGTAACGTAACTTAATCAGTAGCGTAAAGATGTGAACATGGAAACTAAAAAGGATTCCTTTGATGGTGAATGTCTCCAAATTGTCGTATAACAATTTTAAAGCTGTCGTAATCAATCATTAGTATAAAATATGTTTAGTCAGTTTCTTTAGCGGGGGTCACCAGTGAGATAAATAACGCCATTTTATTAGGTGGGTTAATTTATGAATGAATACTTAGAAAATCACCTATTGAATCCTCTTGGAATTTGTATCATATGAGGATTTAAAGCTACTTTAAGTTGATGTTTCAAGATCTAATGTATGAAACATCTAATTGATATATGTTGTCTGTTTCGAAGTATTGATTTGATACTCGCGATTAAGTAGGTAATGTTTCCATCAGGATTTTATCATACTTGACTGCATATAATGTTAAGTTTTTGAAGGTAGTCATCCGAAAGCCCTGCACTTAGGTTTTATCTCTGTTTGTATTCAATAGTTAGGGATACTTGCTATCTGAAAGGAAATGAAAGATTTGAATCCTCAGCATTAAATGACTTTTTGCTGAGGTAATGGTCATGCATTGCTAATGAGTACCACCAAGCAAGAAACCTATGTCTGGCGCTTCATATGAAATGTACCCAATTATCTAAATCACTTAAAACTGTGTTCGCGACTGGTTAGTTGAAATTAAAATGTGTGACAGACATCTTAGCTTATGCTTCTACATCGTTTGGCTAAATTGAACCGCCGCTATTGGAATATTGGGATGTGCTGATACTTCATTATTATTGTCGTGATAAATCCATATCTATGGTAAGGGTTAGGGGCTAGAAATAGAATCCAGAATATGATTTGTCAGCTGGACGTACACACTTTCCAAGAGCTTATCAGTAGCTATATCGTTTCAATTGTGTTGTATGTAAAATGGTAAGGTTAGACAATTTTGTATTATCTCTGTTATCCTTTCCACTTTTCACTCTGAATTGTCTCATTCCTAGACTTGGTCACACATAAAATGTAACTGCCTAGATTAGAGAGATCATTTCTAAAAGTATTTACCGTACTTATCACGAGATATGCGTAACTCATAAAATAATATGTCCATCCTTAAATACAATTCCCTTAACTATCTAGTTGGTGTTTTTCAGGATTGGCGTTGCATAACTACTAGAGCAGAGTTAACTTACAGAAGCAGGAAAAAGCCTTGGCCTCAGAAGAAAACTGGAAAAGCTCGACATGGTAGTCGCCGTTCTCACATATGGCTTTATGGAGGACAGTGCAAAGGTCCACGTGGTCCAGAGTCTTTCTTTTCTGTACTACCGTTTGCTCAACGTGTTGCGGGTTTACTCTCTATGTTATCAATAAAACACGCTCAAGTAATTTTGAATAACGTTTGAAATGTATAAATTTTTTGAATGCATCATTTTATTTTTATCTGAACAACATTCTCTTGTTCGTCCTCATTCAAAATAGATAGTGTTTACAACCATAGTTTCATCAGCTATCCTCATTATGCAGCATATTCTCTTATAGAATATTAATCAAGAAAAGCTAATTGACGGATCCATTCAATGTCATATTGGTAGTAACACCAGGTTTCTTCGAATTCAAATGATAAGCTGTATTACACTTGTAGTGATGTAACCGTCTCTGCTGCTGCAAACCATTCCAATAGTCCTTCTTCTTCTTCTTCTTCTTCTTCTTCTTCTTATTATTATTATTATTATTATTATTATTATTATTATCATTATTATTATTATTATTATTAGTGCCTTCGGTTCCTAACGGAACATAAGGCTTCAGTAGCACGTCTCCATTCCACTCTGTCCTCTAAAATCTTTTGGACCTGGCTCCACGATAGCCCACAACCTCTTATTTCCTCCTCGCATGATCTCCTCCATGCCACCCTCGTCTCGGACGCTCAACTCGTCGCTTCACTTGCGGGTTCCACTCGAGGGCCTGACCTGACGCGTGATCTCCCCAGTCGGCCTTCTCAGTGTATGCCCAATCCATCTCCACTTCCCTCTGCATATTTGTTGGGTGATAGTTTCTTGGTTGGTTCGTTCCCAGAGCTCCTCGTTGCTTATTCTTTCGTGCCATCTAATCTTCAGTAGTGAGCGTAAGCAGTTGTTGATGAATGTCTGTAGTTTATTGGAAATCCCTTTCGTGACGCGCCAAGTCTCTGAACCATACAGAAGCACCGACTTGACGTTAGTGTTGAAAATCCGTATCTTGTTCCACATGCTGAGTGCAGAAGATCTCCACACTGGTTTCAGGCTAATGAACGCCTGTCTTGCAGTCTTTCCGATTCTGACTTTGACATCCTCGTCTGTGCCTGTGCTGCCTGTAGTTGAAACAGTGCTTCCTAGATAGGTGAACGAGACTACTTCCTTTAAGTTTCTCCCGTTGACGGAGATTGTAGTTTGTTGTTGTTGTTGTTGTTGTTGTTGTTGATGGTGGTGGTGCGGCATCTTCATCACTTCTGTCTCCTCTATATTCACTTGAAGTCCCGTCTTCGCTGCCTCTTCTATCAACTTGTTAGTTTTTGCCTGCAGATCTTCAAGTTTATGTGACATTGAGCACAAGTCATCGGCGAAATCCAAGTCTTCTAGGTTCTTTTACGTCGTCCAGTGTATCCCCCTCTTCTCGCTGCCCACTGTTTGCTGCATGATCCAGTCCACCACAATAAGGAATATCATGGGGGATAGTAGGTAACCTTGTTTCACTCCTGTCTTCACTTCAAAAGCATCACTGAGCTTCCCATTGTGAATTACTTGGCATGTGGCATCTTCATATAGTTGTTGAATGAGGCTGATAAAGGTTTTGCGGTACTCCGTAGTATTGAAGCAGCTTCCAAATTACTTCTCGGTCGACGCTGTCAAAGGCCTTCTCAAAGTCGATGAAGTTGAGGCAGAGAGCTGATTGCTATTCTATGCTCTGTTCTATGATGATGATAACAAGCGTTGCAATTTGGTTGGCACATGATTTGTACTTCCTGTAGCCTGCCTGTTCCGGTCATAGTTTTGAATCCAGTGCATCTTTAAGCCTCTCCAGGATGATGCGGCTTAATATTTTACTTGGGGTGGACAGGAGAGTGATTCCGCTCCAGTTCTTGCAAGCACTGAGGTCTCCTTTCTTCGGCAGTTTGACAAGGTAACCCTTCTTCCAATCGTCAGGTACCTTCTCTTCCTTCCACACCTTCTGCAATAGTGGTGTGAGCATATCCGCTGTTGTCTCTGCATCTGTTCTCAGTGCTTCTGGCGGTATCCCATCTGGTCCTGCTGCTTTCCCGCATTTCAGTAGCTTTATGGCGTTCAGGACTTCCATTTTCGTTGGGGGATTAATGTTCACTTGTAGTTCAGCGGCTGCAGGTGGTATTTCTGGACGAAGTGCAGGTGGTGGTCGATTCAAGAGCTTCTTGAAGTGGTCAGCCCACTGTTTCCTTTGTTTCTCTTCTTTCGTAATTAAATTTCCTTCATCTTTTATTGGTTTCATCTGTGTTGATCTCTTCACTCCCAGATAGTAACCTGGTTATTTGATACAATGTTGTCAGGTCTCTCCTACCAGCCGGTAGCCTGTTCTGCTTCACTTGTCAGTGTTTCGTAGAAGTGTCTTTTGTCTTTGCGTGCACCCTTCTTCACTTCTTTGTTCAGTGTTTATACATTGTGCTCAGTTTCTCTTGTCGTTGAGCATCCTTGCACTGGTTTATCTTCTGCCTCACCATCCTCCTCTCCTCTATCAGCTTCCAGGTATCCGTCGAGATCCATTCCTTATCTTCTTTCTTCTTCCTTCCTAATACTGTTGTGCAGGTTTCTTTCCACATAGCTTTCAAAGACTTCCAGTGTTCTTCCACACAGGTTTCTTCAGGGATGTTGCTCGATATCTCCTATTTTGTCTTGATGGCTGACTGAAGTGAAGATTTCCTTTGTAGTTTCATCCTTCAGTTTCCGAGTGATGTACTTGAATTGAGGTCTATCACCAGCTTCCTTGAAGGCTTTTAACTTGATTTGGAAGGTTCCTTGCACTAGATAGTGAGTGATGTGAACCTACATCTGCTCCTCTTCTTGCCCTTGTGTCAAGTAGACTGCGTCTCCATTTTCTTGAGATTGAGATAAAATCGATCTGATTTTTAGTGTAATGTATCCATCTGGTGAAATCCATGTCGCTTTGTGGATATCCTTGTGCTTGAACACACTGCCTCACAGCAATCACCAAATCGTTGAATGCACAGAATTCTGCAAATAATTCTCCATTCTCGTTCATCACCTCACCGAGCGCTTCTCGACCCATGGTTAGTTCTCTTCCTGTGTTGTCTACTCCTAGTTTGGCATTCATGTCACCCCGCCCATTCGAATTTTGATATATCGCCAACTGACGTCTTGTCCAGTGTTGATTGAAGTTGTCTGTAGAAATCCTCCTTTTTCTCTTGCTCTGCATTATTTGTAGGTGCATAACATTGTATGATTGTGACCTTCCTTCTTTTTGAGTTGAACCTTGCTGTCATGATCCTGGAGGAGATTGGTTCCCACTGCATGAGAGCCTTCGATGCTCTTGAGGACATCATGATAGCCACTCCATAACTCAGTGTGCTCGTGGTTGTCGTCTGGGTGACAATACCTGAGTAGATTATTGATTCTCCAGTTGACAGTTTGGAGAGTTCACTCCCATTCCATCTGCTTTCGCAAATTCCAGGCACTTCAATGTGATACCTCTTCATTTCGTTTGCAATCTGGGCTGCCTTACTGGGTTCAAACATCGTGCGGGCATTCCATGTCCCCACGTTTACTTTCGCTTTCATCGAGGGAGATAAGACACATCGGCCAATTGGCTTGCCGAAGGCAGGCTTTCACCAAGTGGCGTCATTTCGCCTCTCCGATTCCAGCGGGGAATAAGTTTGTTTGATTTTTTATATTTTGTTTGTGCTTTGAAGTTTCTTTAGAGGTTAGATTTGTTTTACGTGGTAGGGTTGCTAGCCCTATGCCCAACCTTCCCTCTTTACCCGGGCTTAGGACCGGCTAGTAACTAGTAAACTAGTTAACCAGGCGTTGTTATATATATATATATATATATATATATATATATATATATATATATATATATATATATATATATATATATACATATATATATACCTAAGTACATTGTGACCTCATCTCGTTAGGCGCGACTGGTTAAATGTATGTGGAGTTACAGTTGCTTTTCTGCAGCTAACATATGTTACGATGTTTTAGTAAACTGTTGTTTTACGGTTTTTATGAGGAAGTATCTAAAAGTTTAGACGGATGCAATCAATGTGGGATAGTCTTTACCGCTTTCTTTGCCTAACTATTTGCATTACGTGAGGCCAAAGAAAGCTGTTATTCAGAAGTACCATGCAGTAACAGTTTTCCTTAACTGCATATGTTGTTATATGTAGCACCAGTATATACTGATATCTTAGTTAACTGAAGTATTGAATATGTCTGATTGGATTATTTCCACATATTTTGTGCAGATCGTATAACTTAGTTGGAATAGAATTATATTTAATTAATGCATATAATCCTGTGTTCAGTGTAGACAATTGATTCGTGATTGGCTTAGCTAGCAATCTTTGGTCGGCAGACGCAGATTAAGGTGGTCACTGTCCTCTAATAACTAACAATATGACTTGCATATATGCATAGGAACTGGATAACTTACAATGTGTGTTAATGTTTTAGTCAATTTCTTCCTAACTAAATCGACTGACAATTTTCACTGAACGGTGGAATACACCCATTTGATCATACATATAGACAAAAGAGATGGTTTTAGGGAAGAGAAATTTTTCTTTTCGCGAATGTGTGTTACAGTGGGTATAGCTGAAGCACTAGCCAAGCATTCAAAAGTTCAAACCAGCACTGTCCAAAAAGGCATGTTCAACCTTTGCCATGACCATCATAAGCCCTAGGCTGCCATAGGTCAATCCTGTATTACCTAACTACACTTTTATTTTCCTACTCTAAATCCTCACTTGTGTCACTTAACTTCCTTTCGCTATTCAATATATTTTCACCTCTGTCTGGAAATAATTCTGGAATGTTCTATCCATCTTAACATATATTCGTGAGTGCATAGCTTAGTAAATAAATTCATCGAAAAGAGAAAATTTTCTTCATTGCAACCTTTTTTGTCTTTTTCTGAACAATCATAATTGTCATGTTACTTCACCCCCTTACAAAGTTCAGAAAACAGCTTAGTGTAGCCATACTGGTTTGCGTATTTGAATTTTGTTTTTTAATGCTCCATTTACTATTTTTATTTCAGAACGATTTACACATTGTCGATGATTTCACTCTGTCGGAAACACTGGAAGAAGATGCTAAGAATATTATAACTGAAGCACAAGCTGCATTACTTACTCCAGATGCTTTACAAGATCCACTCTCTCCACTGAATAAGACACGTCATTATCGTTTGACGAAAACAATGAATGAAGCAGCAATTTATGTCCGTCAATTGGCAGATCTTCGACATTGGGGTCCATCTATTTTGTTCATTGATGCGTAAGTTGAAATGCTTATTGAATAGTCTTCTTAAACTATATATTGTGTTATTTCAACGTTGATAAATACTATGTAGGCTATTATGCGGGTTGCTACCTATAAGTATAGACATATATTTGCCGAATGGCGCAAACGTTTGCACTTAGATTGGAATCCACGTTATCTAACAGTGGATTTGTTCCTAAAAAGAAACTAATCTCTCCAAGGCTAATTGTCAGATAACCAGTCATTGGATGATAACTAATGTAATCATGGTGTCATGTTATTTAAATCACCAACCGTTAATGTTAGTGATTAACACTTAACTTGACCCCTTGTATTGATTATTTTCAGGCAAACCACTCATAACTGGAGTATAACATCTTATATATCCTGTTTATCACCACCTCTGTCAGGCGATGTTAAACGCTGAGTACTAAATGTATCTCCATAGACCATTTATAGTAGACTGATATCACCTTGAAAATTAGTAACTGTTCGTTGGTTGTTCTACTGTATCTTGGGAATTTTTTCACCATTATGTTTGCAAACAAATGTAATTTTTTGGTATGGATCCTGTGTGTAGTATCAGTACTCATAGCTAGGGAGTTGCAGACTATTTCGAAAAGGTTTTTCAACTTTTCTGGACTGTAGACTAGATAATGTGGCCCACTTTTATAAATTAGTCATGCTAACTTTATATTTTCCCAATATTCGTTATTTCATCATGGTATATTTATTTTTGTTTCAACTTTATTCTTCTGATTCATTATCATACCTATCTACTATTTTCATTATTTCAATTTTTTACTGATACACATTCATGTGAGTTTTTTATAACTATAAGTCATTTCTGATTTCCAGTCCTGTGTTATCTGGTATTATTACTTTGTGGGCTTATGACTCATTGATTTAGGGAGTTGACTACCGACCAGTGCAGTCGTCGGTTCGAATATCGCTACCCTTACTGAGGTTTGAGCGGCCCTCATGCAATAGGTGTGGCTCACTACCTATTGCACCAATGTGCGCAGGGTTACTGAGTGGATTTCGGTTTGGTTTCTGTATTATTTAATTACCAAAAATGAACTGAAACGTAGTTTTAATTAACCTCTAAGTCACTTTCTAAGAGTTTTCATCCTGCAGTGTAGATTGATTTTCAGTTATGCTAATTCATATACTGTAATGAATCCAAATTAGCTGTCTTAGCCAATACATATGATGAGAGATTTTAACGGTGAATATACTTCTAAACTCTCACTCAAGTCTCACTTGTTTACTTTTCAATGTGCGTCGCATGTACTTGATAATAATCTCCTTCACCTATGAGCCATCGATTAAATTAAATACAATCTGAGATACTGACTATCCTTATGCTAGCATTCCTGTTGATTTAAAACTCGTGGGTTTGTGCATATGAGTAACAAGTTCATAAGACAAAATAAATTGTGTATTCTACTTTTATTCTTTAAGCCGATAAATTCGCAGTATACCTAATATTAAAGTTGTGTTCACCAAACTTTGTGGTGTTTGCATAGTGCGTTGACTAAAAAACGTCATTGGGGATTGAAAAAAGTATGTACTAACTAAACGTTTATCAAGACAGATAGACATACAAAACCAACGTAGAACCTCGCTCATAAATGCATCAGTTCAAGTTGCCACAATTCGCAATAGTATACAAAGAACAAGTGGACAGCGTAAGAGTGATATCAAAGTAGGTAAAGTCGTGTCATAGAATAAACAATTTGAAGATAAAGCTTAGAGCGAATATTCAAACTTTACAAGACGTCAAAGAGTGGATACATTCGCTCTATTGTACTCTGTTTTCAGCCATGTTACCAGTTCTCAGCCACTAATTCTTATCATCTCGGAGACCCCAGCCAGACAGTTTATTTCTCCATACATAACTCAAACCAACAGTCAGGGACTTCACCGATTGATGTCATATGCTGTACTGGCCACTCTTAAACCTCTTCCAACGTAATCCAGCTTCCCCTAGTATTGCACGTTGAGGTAGGCGGTGGGTCGGCATGCGTAATACATGTTCAAGCCATTTCAGCCGATGAAAGTTCACAACCTCATCAGTCAACTTGCTTGTCTTGCCTAGTACCCTTCACCTGACCTCAACATTGCTCATACGGTGATTCCACCAAACGGAATCAATGTTATTAAGGCATTTGTTAGCAAAACCCTGTAATCGCTTCATGTCTTATACTTTTCACGGCCGTGTCTCAACCTTACAACAGGACAAAGTAGACTGCAAAGTAGTATACTGGTCCTTTAACAGGTAGTCCAATATCTTACCAGTAGACGCCAGAGTATACGTAGGTTGGCAAGTGCGAACAAGTCTTCTGTACCCGGTGTAAGATTAACGTTTGTCAAAACCCCAAGAAAATCAATTCCTCATTCTGCATGATTTTTACAACATGCTTTTAGTCCTCATCAATTTTTCCTGCTAAATTTTCACAATCTATGCAACGCTGACACCAACTACGTCGATTATCAATGAGACGAGGTTCACGAATCGTGCTTTTTTAATTCACATTTCCATGTTGGTTCAACTTGTTACACCTTCAGATGGACACGGACAAGCGTTTTGAAATGATTTGAAATACCTTAAGGATTCCGTTTATAGTATGTTGCATACGATACACTTATCACTAAAGAGGAGTCATGAGCGGTGACTGTCTTGACAGAAGCATGACGCATGTATGAGTTTACGTTTGGTCAAGTTTAATGATGTTAATATCGGTTGTTATGGTTCTATGACTTCAACTAATACCACACTTCTGATGGCTATCATTTAAATATAGTTGAGTGTGTGCTACTGTAACTATGTTAATGCGAATACAGATTTTAAATACTGTATGATTGAGATTATGTGAACTGTTAAGTGAACTAGCCTGTCTTTGGGACTATCTGAAATATACATATTACTATCACAACCATTGTTTCTCCTACATCAGTCCTAAGTGCTGATAAATTAGTTCATAATTTAATTCTGAAATCTGTACAAGAAGTTTTCTTATTTTTTGACAGCTTTGCCTAACTTATCTTATATGCATCAATGTGAAAGCGTTGACAGTGGCGAGCTTTGATAACACTTATGATTTCAGAATGGTTAGATCAGGTATCGCTTGAAAAAGATAGGGAAGAAAGACGGATATTTTACATCCAGAAACAATTGAATGAATTTGAGTTAATCATTAAGTTGTTCCGCTTTGTTTTAAAGATACGACACTAAAGTAGGGAATGCGGTGTAACATTTTTGATTCGATAGGTTTGACTTGGGACAGGAATCCTGTGTTTATCCGTAAGAGTTTTCATAATAGAATGTCTTATCACATAATTCTGATGAATACATTTCGTCTAGAAACCTGAGACATATATACACCGCTGTTCCGAATCCAGGACGAACTGCCTCTGCTTTTAGATCTGCTGTTTCTGATGAATCTATAGTTATTATGTGGCTTTTGATTTTCTACCTCTTTGGAAATACTAATCTCGCGAAGACAGTAACTGTGATTTCCCCGACCAAGACTATGTTCGCAGTTGTATAAAGTTTTATAAAACTCAGAGAACACAGTATTCACTCGGGTACAAAATGTCGAAACTCAATTGTAGGTTTGTGCGAATTGATTGGTTTTAAGGTATTCTTCTTGTACTCTCAAAACCTGGCGGTCTTACACTCAATCCCTGTCGAAGTCATAGATGCGCTCTGCTGAGGAGTTCCAAACTGGAAGAAAGCAGATAAATATTCCTTACAAATGTCAGTGGTTTTACAACTTAAATTTAGTTTATAATAATAATAGGGGCTACTGTAAAACCGATCAATCTTCACAAAGTGCGAAGTGAATCAAATCCAGTACCTACTTTAAAGTGGATCTCCCAAACTTCCAAAAACAAGCTGTAACCTGTGTGAGAACTCTCATTATTGCACTAGATGATGGTCACACTGCATTACTAATGGACAGAAGTAAGACAGTTGGACCCAGTGGCTGAACGGTGGTATACTCGCCTCAAGACCTGGCAGTCTTGGGTTTGATCTCAAAGAGGGTCGTTGGTGCTCACTGTTGAGGTGTCCTGAAACAAAGCGAAGCAACTCTGTAGTGCATTTTAGCTTCTTTGGTTGTCGAACTGACGTCACTCCATGATGAAGGCAAACCTGAAGCAAAATTTGAGCGTTTTTGTTAACAAGCGTTAAACCGAACTCGTTCACTTCTGACTACTTTTATTATGCACTGCTAGTGAAACCGAACGTCGAAACTTGAAAAACACTAAATATTTGTTATCCTCGACCCGATCTATGAATATTCTTTACTCGTGTGCGTTTTTCCGGAGTTTCACACTCCTGTGTAACTTCTCAGATATATCATTATTTTTGGACTTCAATATTATTTCTCGTTTACTTTAACTGTACTTGTGGTATCATTACTTATTTCTTTTGAAGGCATTCTCCGGCTTGTCAACTCTCAGTCCCATGCCCTGGAAGTGAAGTCATGGCTAATGATGAAAAGATGGTGAAATCAAATATTAATAGTCTGGCAATTAGTTTGGCTTGTAGTTCGTATGAAAATCACGTAAAAAACGAACTTTCTCCAGAATCATCACCATTCAGACCTGATGCTATTGCTCCTCGTGCTACACATCCAGGAAGAGGTTTAACTTTAATGCCAGTTCACAGTTTGAATGTTTGGTCCATGGTACATCATGATACACTAGTTATATCATTGAAGGCCTTGGAACTATTGGAACAACGACTAATTACTGCACAAACTGCTGTGGTTCGTGACGAATGTATCAATGAAATAAATTTGCATCCTTTAGCCCCTGATTGGTTCAGTGCTGCAGTGGAAGGTGAAGCTGAAGACCACCAGGGAATGTCATATGAGAACCGACATTTTACAGACCCTGTAGGTTCATCGAAATGGCGGAAACTCACTCTCTAACCTCATGTGCAATGTATAGTGTAATTTACATTATTTTAAAAAGTAATAAATAATAACTCGATAATTGCCCATCTATATGTGGGTTATTGAATATGTGATGTTAGCAAATGCATACATAGCGCTTCTTTTTGTAATCTATGTTATAAGTATTGGTAAATCGATGTTTCACACTTCTTTGCTTCACTGTTATGTATCATGTTCTTAATGTATATCTGTGGAATATATTCATGGATTGGAGGCATTCAAATAATCCTAGAGTAGCAGTGTTGGTGCATTCAGTCATTCGATGAAGCATACGCGTTTTACGTTGTGGCACCTAGCTCATTACTAGTTTCATCGATCAAAGCAAAGGTGATTAGTAAAAAAGATGATATTTTGTGTTGCCACTACACTTTGCTGACTGGTTATTGGTAATATTAATGCTGAATGTAAATGGCATCTTGAAAAGCTTCTCTAGTTAGTATGATAGGTGTTCGTCATGCTACTAGACTATCTTGTGAGTATTCATCCATTTCGGTTAATCCACTTCCACGACCATACTAATTGCATTGACCTCTCCAAGAAAACTTTTGTGCATAAAATACCATTCCTACTGCAGTTAAAGTCCCCCTTAGGTTATTGTGAAGGAATATTTCGTTTTAAGAAATAGTCAAAATTTGACATTTCTGAGGAAAATGAAACTCTATGAGTATTCATGCAAGTTTCAAAGACGTCGATGATTTAAAAGATAAACTATGCTATTCAGTATTTCTGCATTTATATTTCCCATTCGTTGGGAGGTACAAGTACCAAAATAATAAATATCATTTATCTAATACACGAATTTTCTCAAAATACCAAGTCCCAAGTTGGTTTGGATATCCATGGATAGGCTATAAAGAAACTGATAATTGCTTCCTAACAGTACTAAGCCTAATAAATCAAATGGTAGTTGGGTTGGATGTAGAATTGTATCAAGAAGAGATTATAGCCCATGCACTGAGTGTTGGATTGGCTGACGAACTTTGTTTAAATTCATGAAATGTTTCTGTAATTCAAGTGTTGGGACTAATCCACTTGGATATCACATTGAGTTAATATTTATTTCGTATTTGGGTTGCCCTGTAGATTTCAACGATTTTAAACGTGATGTAAATCATCTACCTACACTGATTCCAGCATCTTCACCGTAGAATATTTCTTCATTGATCAGTGCTGTGAAGATCTACTTCAGGTTCAGTCTTAACTCATCACTATTAATGTCTTTACTTTCCTACGTTGTTTTTAGTCACCAGTTTGTGTGAGAACAGCAAGACGAAAACACTAACTTTTGTGAGACGTTTCTTGTTGAGAAATGTGTGTCACCACATAATCATTTTCGAACGATATGGCTGTAGTACTAGAGCAAGGCAGCAAACCTGTTAATTGATTTTCAAAAGGCTTCAGTAAGAGTGAACAGGGGTTACTCCCAAACCGAGAAAGAATCATTTACTGTTGTCTGTGCAGTAAAGTACATGAAAAGTCTCTCTTTGATACAGAATCCTATGGTTAACATCCTTACTTCAAAATTCATTTACCATGATGATAAATAAATCACTAAATGGATGGGGTCTCTGTAATACAGAGGTGGTTTAAGCAAGCTGATGCTATAGCATATACGATCTCCTAACGCGTTATTTATGCTTCAAGAGTTCTGATTAGTGTTAATGATACTGGTTGGAAGCGAAGATTCTTTGAGTACTGTAAACGAAGATATGAAATATAACTAAGTCCTGTAGGTTGTTTATATTTGAATGGAGGAATCACTATTTCACTGAAATTGCGATTTGCTATATAAAAAGATCTTCACTCGATGCACTGAGGGGCTGAAAAATAAGGTCATTTGTACACTTAAAAAAGTCAACTTAAAGCCTATCGCAAGAGCTTCAGTTCCAGTTGCCGTACTTCAGAGTAGCACGATAAAGATAAGTGGGTAGAAAAAGATTGATATTATATCAGATAAACATGAGTGGGGGAGAAATTTGGAAATGGTTAGTGAAAATGTCCAGGTCCTAACAGACGTCAAACAGTGATTGCATTTGCAACAATGTGACCCGTTTCCAGCCACGTTACCGTGGTTTCGCAACCATGGTCTCTTATCGTCCGGAGGCCCCACTCAGGCAGTCTGTACCTCTCTAGCCAGCCCAGATCAACAGTAAAAGACTTCGTGAACTGACGCTATGTCTTGGTCCAACCACCCTGGGCCTTCTTCCTGCCTCATCCAATTTCTAATAATCTCGCGCGTCGGGATATACAGTGGCCTGGCGTGCGGTAAACTTGTTTATGCCACGTTAGTCGGTAAAGGTGGCCCGAAACTGATGCAAATATTGCAAGGTGAAACGGCCCTTGCCGTTGTTTGCAAGAAGTTTCATGTGGAATCCTTGGTTTGTGTCTTGTATCTTATATTTCATTTGTTTGTCCTTTGAGTTCCTAGTGAAACATAGGGCTTCAGTAGCACGTCTCCAATGCACGCTTTTCTCTGCAGTCTTTTCAACCCGGCTCCACGACTGCCCACAAGCTTCCATTTCTTCCACACACGATCTCCCCCATGTTACCCTCAGACGCCCAACTCGTCGTTTCCCCTTTGGACTCCACTCGAGGACCTGGTGCGTGATGACCCCAAATCGTCCTCTCAGTCTATGTCCGATATATCTCCACTTTCTTCTGCATATTTGCTGGACGATAGGTCCTTGGTTGGTTCGTTGCCAGCCAGAGTTCCTTGTTGCTTATTCTTTTTGGTCATCTGATCTTCAGTGTCAGTGTCGAGTGAGCGTAGGTGACAGCGGTTGATAAATGTCTGTAGTTTGTTGGAAAAGCTTTTCGTAACGTGCCAAGTTTCTGAACCATATAGAAGGACTTACTTGACTAAATCAGTGTTGAAAATCTGGATCTTGTTCACGCTTTATGCTGAGTGGAGTGCGGTGTATTGGCTCTCCACATTGATTTCAGATTAATGAATGCCCATCTTGCCTTTACGATCCTGGTTTTGACGTCCTCATCTGTGCCGCCGCCACCTGTAGTTGAAACGATGCTCCCTAGGTAGGTGAAAGAGACTACTTCCTTTTGACTTCTCTCATTCATGGTGATTGGAGTTTGTTGTTGTTGTTGGTGGTGGTGGTTAGGTATCTTCATCACCTCTGTCTTCTCCACATTCACTTGAAGTCCCGTCTTCGCTGCCTCTTCTGTCAACTTGTTAGTTTTCGCCTGTAGATCTTCAAGTTTGTGTGACATCAGGCACAAGTCATCGGTGAAATCCAAATCTTCTAGGGTCTTTTCATCGGTCAAACAGCGTATCCTCATTTTCTCGCTTCTCATAGTTGGTTGAATGATCCAGTCCAGTGCGCTCGACCATGGTCAGGAAGATAATCGGTGATAGTACACGGCGACCTTGTCTTGTCTTACTGCTGTCTTCACTTCAAAGGTGTCACTGAACTTTCCATTGTGAATCACCTGGCACGTGGTGTCTTCATATAGTTGTTAAATGAGGCTGATAAGGGTTTGCGGTATTCCGCAGTATTGAAGCAGTTTCCAAATTACCTCTTGGTTGACGCTGTCAAAGGCCTTCTCAAAGTCGGTAAAGTTGAGGTAGGGAGTTGACTGCCATTCTATACTCTGTTCTATGATGATGCGAAGCGTTGCAATTTGGTCGGCACATGATTTGTACTTCCTGAAGCCAGCCAGTCTGTTCGGATCGTAGTTTTGAATCTAGCACATCCTTTAGCCTCTCCAAAATGATGCGGCCTAATATTTTGCTTAGGGTGGACAGGAGAGTGATTCCGTGCCAGTTCTTGCAAACACTGAGGTCTCCCTTCTTCAGGAGTTTGACAAGGTAACCCTTCTTCCAATCGCCAGGCACCTTACCTTCCTTGCAAACCTTCCACAATAGTGGTGTAAGTATGCCTGCTGTTGTCTCTGCGTCTGATTTCAGTGCTTCTGGAGGAATCCCATCCGGTCCCGCTGCTTTCGTGGCTTTCAGGACTTCGGCCTTTTCTGGAGGGCTTGTGTTTACTAGTAATTCTACGGTTGCCTGTGGAATTCTGATGGCGGTCGATTCAAGAGCTTTTCAAGTAGTCAGCCTATCGTTTTCTTAGCTTCTCCACTCTGGTAACTAAGTTTCCTTCACTGTCTTTGATTGGTTTTTGGGTTGATCTCTTCCCAAGTAGCAGATTATTTATTTGATATAATGCTGGCTTGTATCTTGTGAGACAGGACAATGCGTTAAAGCAGATTTTTAAGGATAAATACATAAATTTTTATTCTCACATTAGTAATTAACATGAGAGAAGCCAGTTTACAGGCATCATCACATTGATATATGTCGAAAAGTCTACAAGATTTTACGGGTCCTGAATAGTACAGATGAGAGGTCGTTTAACGCCATCAAAAACATCAGATCGCGGTTACGGGACAAAGAAAGTACCACTTTCAGCATATGAAGTGCGTCAAAGTGAAGATAATAAAAATTCCCATTCCCATATAATGGATTTAACATGACAGATACCAGTCCACAAGCACCGTCAAAATGATGATTTTGGAAGTCTACAGAATAATGCCGGGAATCACATAACTCACATAGCAAGTTACTGATATGTATAAACTTATTAAAACTTGCTACAAATCAAGAGACGGATTTGGATTTCCATCCGTCATTACACAGATAGGTTCCACCGTCAACGACAAAAGCGCGCAATATTCGAAGTTTGCGTTATATCCAGACTGCGTTGTTAGCCCATTTGTATAGTTTATTATTTAGTAATATAAACATCCATTCACTAGAAAGTTCTTCAGTTTTTAGCTCTGCTAACCAAAAGGGGCCTATTTTTACGATCTGGAGTATCAGTAAGTATCCATATTTATATAGCCAAGGTGCGTGTCTAAATCCATGCATTTCCAGTTCACCATGTGGTTTAAAGGTAGTGTACGTTAATTCCACTGGGAGTACTTCTAGTGGTAGATGGAAGTAGACGTTGATACGGTTAGTAGTCCAAATGGCAGCAGTTACATATGGACTTCAGGCATCGTTCATATTTTGCGTAAGCAGCATCATTCGAGAAGTGTATTTGATGCGTGGTAACTTTTACTTAAAAAGGTCACTTGATACACAGTGCTATAGAACATGTAGTGTGGAATTACTGTAGGTAAGTCATATTCCGAGACAAAAGGTATATTAGTCTTTCGTTGATCACTTGTTCAGAATATTTATGCCACTATGGCTGTTGGTAAACTTTAGACGGTTCG